TCACTCGAGATGGAAATAAGCTTAACAATGATAATATCTTGCTCTGATGATGTTTGTGATATGTTGTACGAATGCTTAGCTCCTTTTAATCGGAAACGAAGGAAATTCAGCATAAATGTTCCAGCCAATCGATAGCTGGTCAAGAGCAATTCGCCGTCGTCTTCTGGTGGAATCGACCTTCGAATCTATTCACCCAATACTTTAACTCGAGATAGAAGTAAGCTCAACAATGATGATGTTTGTCATGTGGCGTACGAAAGCTTAGCTCCTTTTCATCTGAATCGAAGGAAATTAATTCAGAAACAGCGTCAGCATGAATGTTCCATCCAATGGACAGCTAGTCAAAAGGAATTCGCCGTCGTCTTCTAGTGGACTCGACTATACACTCTCTTCACCCAACACTTTCACTCGAGATGGAAGTAAGCTCAACAATGATGATATCATCTCTGATGATGTTTGTCATGTGGCGTACGAAAGCTTAACTTCTTTTTATCGGAATGTTAGGAAATAAACTCAGAAACAGCGTCAGCATGAATATTCCATCCAATCGACAGCTGGTCAAGAGAAATTCGCCGTCGTCTTCTGGTGGACTCGACCATACACTCTCTTCACCCAACACTTTCACTCGAGATGGAAGTAAGTTCAACAATGATGATATCATCTCTGATGATGTTTGTCGTGTGGCGTACGAAAGCTTAGCTTCTTTTTATCGGAATCTTAGGAAAATAATTCAGAAACAGCGTCAGCATGAATGTTCCAGCCAATCGACAGCTGGTCAAAAGGAATTCGCCGTCGTCTTCTGGTGGAATCGACCTTCGATTCTTTTGACCCAACACTCACTCGAAAGGCAATTAGGCTCAACATTGATGATATATTGCTCTGATGATGTTCGTCATATGACGTACGAAATCTTAGCTCCTCTTTACCGGAATCGAAGGAAATTCACTCGGAAACAACATCAGCATGAATGTTCCATCCAATCGCGAGCTGATCAAGACCGATTCGCCGTCGTATTCTGGTGGAATCGATCTTCGAATCTCTTCACCCATCTATTTCATTCGAGATGGAAGCAAGCTTAACAATGATGATATCTTGCTCTGATGATGTTCGTCAGATAACGTACGAAAGCTTATTTACTTTTCACCGTAATCGAAGGAAATTAACTCAGAAACAGCGTCAGCATGAATGTTCCAGTCAATCGACAGCTGGTCAAAATGAGTTCGCCTTCGTCTTCTCTTTGAATCGACCTTCGAATCTCTTCACCCAACACTTTCACTCGAGATTGATGTAAGCTCAACAATGATGATATCATCTCTGATGATGTTTGTCATGTGACGTACGAAAGCTTAGCCTATTTTCATCGGAATCGAAGGAAATTAACTCAGAAACAGCGTCA